ATCACATATTATCTAATAAACCTGATCCACGCGGCATAGTGACAAGAACGCTAGCTGCATTTCCTCGCTGATAGTTATGCTTAACCTTTGCACGAGAAAAGAACCAGCTCTCTTCTCACCAACCGCGGGGTTAGATAGATCTAATATTGTTAATATTGGTCCTTAGTTATATCTACATAGTCGGCGTCAGCATAATCAACAATTGGAAAGAGACGAGTCCGTGCGAGCATAATTTTAGTAGGCATGGGGAGTAGAAACTTTACGTGTTAAACTTTTTTGTCTTGTGATAGATGTATAGGACTATATAGAAATTCTTGGGTTGTAGAATCCGAGGAAAGGAAATATCACCCCGCAATCCCGTCCAATCCAGCGTGTGAGTTTGAACGTATTAAAGAAGAGAATCGTTAAACAGATCCTTGGTGCTTGAAAAGTTAATTGTTTGAAGTTGTGACGGGCACGCCAGCACGTGGATGCATGCGTCTTAGGACATTGGGTACGAGTGCTTTAACAATTCCGACAGGGCTGAAAGATCTGATGGTACCAGTTAGACATAATCTCACCATCTATTCTTTGGGACCAGATACATAACAGATATTCCCTAAGAAAAAATACGTTAATGAGTACGGCTTCGACATTTTATGGATTTGTAAGGAGATAGTTAATGTTTATCATACGGCCCAACTCAATATGGTCTGCCTAGAGACTTTATAAAATACGGGACACCAGTATCGCGCATTTATTAATGCCCTGATATGTGAAATTACACATGAGAGGCCGGCCTTCGACCCAAAGTGCTCCTTTACTGTCTTTACAAGAATATTAAGACAACGTCGCGCATATTCCATCCTTTTTTATCTCTTAGTTAACTCAAGATACACACTAAAACAAGCTTAAAACATAGATAAATAAATAGTATCTTAAACTTAATTACGGTGGCAGGGCCACGCAGCAGCCTCGGCTGTTACATGAATGGGCAGGTCCGTCCGGAAAAGTACCACGAGCTCACAGAAGACCAGCGTAAATTGTAAGTATGACAAATACTTTCACGTTTCGTCTGGTGAGTGAGGTAGCCGGAGTCAATTTTCAAAAGGTTGTCAACACATCTATAACCCTCGGGTGTAGCAGATGTCCATGGATGGCGGTATTCACTTACCATCAGGTGAACCGTCTGCTCGTTTGGCAACTTTTCACATAAAAAAAACAAAACAATTTATTGTAAGTTTTTGACAAAAGGTAATAATTTAATTACATACGTTACATTTTAATTGTATCATATTCATCAGAGGAATGTTGGTTTATGGTATATTGGTTTATGGTTGGTGTAGGGTATATTGTATTTTATTATCTCTATAAATTAAAAATAACGAATAGGCAATGAACGGAAATCAAATTTCAATTTACTAAAATATTTATTGACTGATTATGAGAAAACTAATTGATTTAAAATCATTTTATCAATTAATTAATGATTACTGTGATGTTATAATTGTTATTTGTAAACTGTATTGACGTGGTTACTTACTGCACATGTTTAAATGAAGCATTTTGTGGATGTTGCGCGTTTAACTCTTTTATTATTTTTATTTTGTATTTTTAATTCGAATATTATAATTAGAAACGATGTACGGGAAGTTAAAGAGTAAATAAAATAAACATGTAACTATTCAAATAAATATGATTGAAAATACTTTATGTCACATAATTACCGTCTATCGTTTGTGTTTGGAATGAAACAAGCTGACCATCACAAAGTCGTAAGAGATTATGGCGTGTGCCCAGTCACGGGTTACAATTCGAGTCATGGCACGCACAAATTGTCAGATTTTTTTAAACTTCATTGTGTACCTACTCAAATCGTAATTTTAGATTTTTAACCGCGAATTGACTAATCGAATCAAGTAGCATAATTAGTAAATTTTGAATTATCATTAAAAATATCCATTTAAATTATGATGTTTTATAAAACTTTCGGTGTGGTTTTCGAAAATTTTTGTTTTGCCAAATTCACACCCACGTTAACTTCACTAACTTCTCACCCACGTTTAACTACTTTGGATAATAACTAATAGGTTTTACTGCTATCCATTTCACACAACTTTTTTCCATGATGTTTGCCCGTATAAAAGATAAAAAAGTAGGCATCGACTTGGGTTTGAAGCCTTTGTTTTTATTAATACGTAGGCGTAATTGAAATCGAATTTACTTATAAATTAATATTTTGTATGTGCTCCATTGTATCATATCTTTAAAAAACACTAATTACTTTTTAAATGATACTTCGCTATTTGAATAACGGCACGTAAAATTATTTATATATAATGAGATACCAATGCTTATGCGAAACATAACTTTTACATCATTACAAGATGAATAACATTGGCCTGAGTTTAGGAATTTTTGTGAAATGATATTACAGAAACGTATGGAGTCTGTCAACCACCATTTACACTTTAAAAACACAAATCTATATATTAAAGTATCCGCTTGGTAATTTTTTGATTTCAAGATCAATAAATAAATCATCCTATATTTCTGCCCTTATCCCACACTAGGTGGGGTCGACACAAAATGTCTAATATAGAAATTAATTATAAATAATAGAAATATCATTCGAATATGACGGTAAATTTCGCCGAAAAAAAAAAAAGGTTATAATAGCTCGGTCGGTAATCGGGCGGCCCCGAAACAGAAGGCTGCGGTTCGTGTCACGATCATTTACACACTTATTTTTTTACTTCTTTTTCTGTACCAGATCATTGCTTTCTTTATTTTTTTAATTTCCAAAATACACGATTTACCATTAAAAAAAACCGGTCCTCCAGGTACTTTCAAAATTATATACGCAAACATAGATAATATATGTATTTACAAGTTCATAAGCACAAACGGGAGTATATTTGCTACCAATACTTTAATACCTTTACTTTAATATTTAGTACTTTAATACCAGTAATATTAATATTTAATAATTATATAAATTTGAATTAAAAACTGTTAATTGCAAAAACATAATTAGTAACATGAAACCACGGCATGAAACATTTAAAATATTCATTTACATAAATAATTGATCATAATAAAATGTGTTTTTAGGCATAGACATGAAAACGGTAATATTCAATTGAGCGGTAAGTATACCATAGGTTATGTAATACTGCAAATTGAAAATATTGATCAATCTACGCAATTCAAAAATGCTGTCGAGAATAAATAATAAAAAAATAGTTAACTCGTATAAAAGGCTTCGCCTCATAGATGCATAAATTGTCAAAGGAATTTTTGGTTTTCTATAGCGAAATTTAAAAAAAACAGTTTCAAAACTAAATCACTTTTGTCACACACACACACACATAAATCTTATAACATAATGAATGAGGCGATTTAGAGCATTGATGAGGTCTTTTCCTTGGCAGTCATTTAAAAAAAATATCACACAAACAAAATATGGTGAAATTGGGTGTCACCATTAGGCAACTAACAAAAGATACGGTAACCGGTTTTTGGTTTTTTATTATTTTTTAATTACTTAAGATTTATTCCTTTATCGGTTTTTTATTTTGACTATCATCACACTTTACTCTTAGGTATGAAAGAAATGTTGATCAATTACAAAACTTTTTAAAAGTTATTCTTAATATTTCAACTGTATTTATAATTCACATTCCGTTAGTGAAAAACGTAACTTTCGAGTAGGACTGTTATTAGTGAAGTATAAATGGAACATCTATAATACAATGCATTTGTCAAAAGCCGAACTTTGCGTGCGTGAATTATTTCGCACTACTTTGTACGAACGAATCGTTCATCAAGCATACATGTGCAGAAACCACACGGTATGTGTCATCGACAACAATGCGTGTCCATTGGATCTAAGACGGAAGGTTCACTTTTAGTGTCAACGACACGAAGCGTTCGAGTGCAGCCTGACCCAAAAAAATATGTCCGAATAATTTGGCTGGGCCGGCAAGTCGAGTTGGGGGCCCGACGCTTATCTCCACGTTCATCAGATGTTTTCACTTTCATTTGCGAAGACTTTGAAGAGTTCCATCGAACGCATTTGAACAGAAATTTGGCAAAACTTCCGTAACTTTTACGGCTTCAATAGCTAAATTTATATTTCGCAAAATAATTAAATATAATGAAAAAATGTCGACGATAGAGCGAAGTGGAGAGAAAAAATAAGGAAAGCTGACCCCACCACCATGTGGGATATATAGCTTGGAAGAGAGAGAGAATTAAATATAATGAAAAAACAATAAGTATTTGAACTTTTAGACTCTTCGACTCGCGGTCACTCGAACCTCGATTGTGTATTAATCGCCGGTTCTATGTTGAACCTAAGACGTTCGACCCTGTAGCCAGTAACCACTAAACCGTGCGGTTAAATTATATATCTGATATCAACCTCGGCCATTTAAAGATCGATCTAATGCGACATATCTTAATTCGGAATAAGGCACTTCCAAGTTTTAAAACATTGGGGTTCTTTTATTACATTAATTTAAATCACAACAGAGCTTGAGATATCGCTCGGACGAATTGCTCCTTAAGTATACATTTGTTTATAATGGAACCAATTGAAATACCAATGATATTTAAATAGGTAGGCTCTTATCAGCATTCAATGTAAAATTTATTTCACATCAACAATTCAAACGGATTTATGGATCCATTCAGAGTAAAATACGCGGAACATCGCGTTGGACGAGTTTTTAAATTATAATTCGGCAGTTTAAGCACTTATCACTACTAGGAAACTGTTACAACGGGCTTAATAATATAATATAAGGGGATCTGCTATTTAGAATATACGTGTTTTTTTTTAAATAATACATGTAAAAAGACTTTAATTAAAAAGCCGTCACGAGTATAATAAAACTGAAAGTCACAAAATCACTGATTGCGCGTGTTTTACATTAAGCGATTAGAAGCAACGACTAACACTACAGTGCGGCTAAAACGCACGGTTTTGATACGTAGAGAACTTAAAATATACTCACAAAGGTGAATCCTACGCCTATGCATACAAGGTAGCCCCAGCCACCATCTGGGGGCACTAAAGCCTTCCCGCAGTGCTTCTTTTCAGCGCCTTCGAGGTGTGCGAACGCTTCATCCATCTTCTAAAACGACGATATCGCACTTGAAAATCCTTATTGTTTCTTCGTTTTCTACTCGCAAGCGATTTACGCACCGCCGCACTTAAAAATTGGCGACTATGCTCATTTCGTTTCGACGATGTGGTTCGTGATGTGCGTACGGTAAAAAATTTCAGCGCGTAAGCATTTTATATCGATGGCTAATACAGACCGCGGTCCGCGCACGTCCTGTCTATACTGTTTCTGTCACCGCATTGAGCAACACTTGGGATGCCGTTCAAGTATACCTCCGATTCCGAGTAGATTTGGAAGTAAATCGCATTATTGGCTCTCGTTTATTACAGAGCGATACTAATTAGATTCAATAAGACAGCGTTGGCAAAAAGGCCTTGTTGAGATTTACAGCATTCGTTTAAGCTCAATTTTATTTTTATTAGACCGAAAGATGCTTGAGTAAAATTATTTAATTACTAAAATTCCCGTGTCAAGAATCAAAAGCTCTTAAAAATTAGCGATGTTTTTTTATGTCAAAACAAATGGAGAAGCTTTACTTGATTTTTTTTCAATGTTTTATTTTATTAAATTAAATTACTTGATACACACTTTTCTCTACCTTACGAATCTCACCAGACCGGACTGTGGGCAGGTACCGGCAAGGTTTTGTAACAACTTTCATTTAAAAAAATATATATATATATATATATATACATATAAATATTTTTCCTTTTCTTACCTTCAAAACAAGCGATACTTTTAATTGCTAGGATTGTGAACGATTTCGGAACCTTTGTTACATACCTTATCAAAATAATGCGCATAAAATATTTTTAAAACAGTTTTTTTTTTCAGAAACTTTTTTTCTTGTACGTTCGGCTCATTTAAATGTTGCCAGGCAAAGTCAAAATTTCCAAAACGGGTTGGTGACATCTCCGATTAGTGAATACTGAATCGTACCAATAATATTTCACTCGTGGTTATTCATACTTATTCATGTAATTTAAAAGTTAAGGACCCACGACTTTTAAGTTGACTGGACAAAGCCTAACCATTCGTACAGGTGATTTTTTTTTCAAATTTCTTCTTCGTATATAATAACAGTGAAATAAATAAAAGTGATACTGTTATAATTAAAGGGCCTGTCTTTATTATTCCATTATAGATGTGTTCCAGTAGTAGTTAGTAAATTGACGAACTAAAAACTAAAAAAAAAATCACCAATTGTACGAACGTAACAATAGATAAAGATGTTCATCTGCGATACCTCTTCCGATCGTAATTGTTAGCAATAAAATTTTTTATTGGTGTCATTTATGTAGAAGTAGTTCAGAAGAATTTTTCATCAATGCTTTTGTGCAAGAACAATAGTGATATAGATATCGTGCGATTATATTACTTGTGGAAAAGCATCCTTATAAATATTAAATTATTATGCATTTGATTCTCAATGGCTCGCGATACAGGAGGAAGGTATACTCGACTGAGGCTAAGCCAAAAATGGCGGGTTATATGTTGGACATGTACATACGAGTGTCTACGTCTGTTCCTTCGTGATAACACTGGCTGAACCGATTTTAATGCGTGATATGTCGTTACATTCGTCTCTACGAGTGTCGCTGAGTTCAATAAAATTAAAATATCTTTACTTCCTAACTATATAATAATATAATCATTACTATCCTTACTAATATTATAAAGGCGAAAGTTTGTATGTATGGATGGATGTTTGTTAATCTTTTACGCAAATACTACTGAACGGTTTTTAATGAAACTTTAAAATAATATAGCTTATACATCAGAGTAAGACATAGGCTATAATTTATATACGTATTTTATGTATCTGTCTTTCTGTCTGAATGTTACGCCTTCAGCCTATTGTACGCAGACGTAGTCGCGGGCAGCAGCTAGTAATAATAATATAATATCCTTACTAATATTATAAACGCAATAGTTTTTTATGTATGGATGAATGTTTGTTATTCTTTCATTCAAATTCTACTGAATGGATTTTAATGAAACTTTACAATATTATAGCTTTATACATCAGAATAAGACATAGATTATATACATATTTTTTGTATATCTGTCTTTCTGTCTGAATGTTACGCCTTCAGCCTATTCTACGCAGACATAGTCGCGGGCAGCAGCTGGTTAAAAATATTTTTGGCACCAAAATGTGCGTCTTAAAAATATTTTTTCTTGCCGGGTTTTTTTTTACATATTCAGCGTGCTTGGAACTTGGAACGAAATTTATTTGTTGATCAATAAGTTGACCAATAGTCATAAAACAATAATAGAGTTTTACAAGAACGTTATAAAAATAAAAAAATAACGAATGCACAACTAATTACACATAAACACATTAGCTTACATGTATGCATTCAGAGATCATGATAGTATAAGATAGTGGGTTTGAGCAAATAAGTGCCTCAGTATACCATGTTTAGTAAGACTTTTAGATTATTTTGATATCGCTTATCATGGCAGTCAAATTATCTCAAGCACGCAGAACTTTCGGGCTGATCATTTATACTATACACGAAATTAAATTCTGTATTAAGAATGTATATTGACATTGTAAAGAAATTAGTTTAAAATATGTTCAGCATAACGTTTTAGTATGTGAGTCTGACGCCCGGTTTCTGAAACACTGATCATTCTAGAAGTCATCGACTAATAAGCTATTAAATGGCTTTTCTAAGGAAGAAAAAGACTGTTTAAGTATCTGAATTGATCAGAATGATCTTCTATATGATCTGAATGATCAATTAAAAGAGTTTAACAATCCTTTTGACAACTTAAATATTTTTATTTTTAAGTTTATTTTTAGTTTGTTTTTTTTTTATTTTATAAACCTTACTTTGGGATAACATTATCCTGTGTTGTAAGGACATTAAACAAACATAAATTTCACACGGATAGGCACCCAGATGCGAAACAACTATCTGTGGGTCACACAAATAGTTGTCCCGTGTGGGAATCGAACCCACGACCCCCGACGCCGAAGTCGCCACCTTGGCGACTGCACCACGGAGTCATCATAATAACATTTGAGAAACTTATTAGTTGACGACTTCTACGATGATCATTGTTTCAGAAATCGGGAGTTAATCTGTTAAAGGTGGGCAACGCAACTCGATGTTCGCTAGTTTGTTCGCACTAGCTAGTTGACTATGTTCTCCTCTATTAAATGTCCTACACACTGTTATCGCTCAGGCACGAACAAGTTTTAGTGAAATGCAGCTTATGGCTTCTCGCAGCGGCATAACATTTTTGGTCTATTTTTTTTTACAAATTTTAAAGCTTAACGCTTATCAATTGTTGAATCGCCATATGTGTGGGCACTATGAGCTTATGTTTTTATATAATTTGTTAGTGTTCTTGAGTAATATGTCTGCGAAGATGATGTTCTTTAAAGTCTTCAAAATTTAAACTTCGTAGGAGTTTATGCAAACGGTGAATGAAATTGGTCATGGAATATGATCAGTTAGCAGTATTGTTTAAATTCGTTAGTAGGTTTAAATTCAAGAATTATCTTTGGCAAAATCCACAACGTTATAAGAAGGACAATAAAAAGTATACACGCACGTACCTCTATACCAGACCTTGCCCACCTTGAGGTTTTCATGATTTATTTTTTTATTAATTATTTAATTAATCCCTAATCAGATATCTAATATTTTAAGTAGCTTGTTTTACTAGTTAGATGGCTCCGTGGCGCAGTTGTCAAGGTATTGGCTTCGGCGTCTGGGGTCGTGGGTTCGATCCTCACACGGGACAACTATTTGTGTGACCCACAATATAGTTGTCGTATCTGGGTGTTTGTCCACGTGTAATTTATGTTTGTCCTTACAACACAGGATAATGTTATCCTAAAGTAAGGGCAATGTTTTTAAAAAACCCAAACCAAACTAGTATCAAATCACATTCAAACTGGTGTACTTTTACTTCTTGTTCTGTAATTTAATTCCTAAGAACTATCTGAAGACCATATAAATTTTTCTTCGAATCAGGATCGAGCCCTGAATACGCGTGCATTCAGTCTCTGATTTAGAATGAATTGTCTGTATATGTGAGTCTGTTAACTTTAACTTGTTTGAGACAAGCAATTAAAAGCTCATAGCCCCTTGAAGTTCGCGGAATATTCCTGTCATATCTTCTATACAGGACAGGTGTTGTACAGCAGTGAGTAACAAATACAGGTACTACTTTCGAGTTCCGAACGCACTGTATGACGCACACGCGGATTGCTATGCGATGTATTAAGGTTGTTTACATGAAACCTGTTATAGTTTTTTGCTTAATTGCCAATTCGGTCCGATTGTTCCACTTGATTAAGATTAGAACGATTTGATGTTGACGCCCTGTTAGTTTGACATAGAAATTTTCCGCTATTCTAATTATCTTCAAATTATATATCTGTCATTACACGCACTACATTAATTTATGAAACAACATTTGTTGAATGAACAAACTAGTAGGAAAAATGTATGTAGTTTACGATGTAAGTTTGCACTTATTTTAATATTTGTCGTAGTATGTTGGTGAGATATTGTGGTGACAAACGTAATGTACTTTATAGGATATTTGCATACGGCAACACGTCTTTGCCATAATTCTTTAAAGTATTTTTTCGTTTAGACTATGTTTGTTTGTTGCATTAAAATGATTGCGAGATTAAGGAAGAGTAGAGAGGATAGTAGGAAAATGGAGTGAAATACCTTTTTTCAGTATTTCGATTATATCAGGGTCACTTGCCTTACAATAGCGTGTAAGTAATTACATCACGTCAAGCAATTGTCATCAAGCCCACGCAATTATTTGTAGGTTTAATCTTTATAACTTTCAATAGGTCAGAATCTAATCACTGTAATACCCGTTGCCCTGTAATTGCTAATAAAGAGAAATCGTTTTTACCATAGTATCTTGTATCTTAAGGTCTGTGTATCTTAAGATGAATTAGTAAAATATGCAACAGGCATTTAATATCAATGTTTGTTTAAAACAAGACATAAACAAGGCTT